CATTATTTGATTAACACCAATGTGATATTGGGTTTATAAAGGATATGATGAGTTGTTCAAGTACAAACAAAAGCTCTAAGTGTGGGAGGTAATCTGGGTGTATTTATGCATACAAATACCATATATTACCCATGATTTAGCTAAATTTTGATTATGATCTTATGAATATCAATTTGTTTATTGAATATTGTTGTGTAATGAGCTACTAGTTTTGATTAGGATGATTATAGGTCAAAACAACAAGAAAATATCCAAAGGATGAATTGGAACGCAAAACAAAGTATCTTGGACATTAACACAACCAAAAGAACTACAATAGAGGAATCTGCAGTGCGAGGTGGCATACCCCGTGTTGGGCCTTGCATTACACATGTTCTAAACCAGATATTTATAGACTTGATTTTCTTGTGATAATTTTGTGACACACGAAGAAGGAGACAAACTTGGAGATAGAGCCCACACCGCAACCCCTTAAGCCACAAACCAAATTCCGCATCGCGACGCCCTTATTATTGGACTGAAGTTGACCAAAGTCAAAATATATTTCAAGCAAAATTAAGATTTCAATTCTATTGTTATATATATGTCATTAAGATGATATTTTAAGGGTTATGAACTATTTCTAAGGGAACGAACTATTTCTATGTATTACAAACTAGCCATAGAAGTTGGGGATTACTCGTAGCTTAGAGATTCATTATTCTTCAGTTTTTAGAGTGTAATTAGTTTCTTAGTAAATTATTATGATACGGACAAGATTCTCTTACAAAAGTTATATTAATCGAAGATGTTATTTACTTTCTTCTATATTAATGTTCTATAGTAGTTTAAATTATAATTAAACTCATAACTAGGATTATAAAACTTAGAGTAGTCTGAACCTGACCCACACTCTAGCCCTCTTTCGTCATCCAGAGATGATTACATTAAAATCTTCTCATCCATGGGTAATCATTGTGTTTTAGTTTCTTTCGTAAATATTTTTTTTAAATGATTGCAGACATTAATAATTTGCTTGTATTTTGACTTGCTTGATAAAAGAGGTTGAGATTAGAAAAATGACCATTAACAAGGATTTGAAACTACCAACTTCCATCTAATAGCTTGAGCTAGAGATATAATAACTAACTTGAGGCTTTAGATGAATGAGAAAATTAATTCGACACACAAGTGTTGGCAGGGTGACATTCTCTAATTGGGATGCGAGGCTTTATGAGACTTATCGATTCATCAGCTTTTCACAATTGAACACATATGAATAAGTTAATAGTAAATTATATAATTGACTTTCGATTTCTAAGAACTATAACACTAGTTCGTCTTTTATTATTAATTAAAGTTTGAGTAGTTAAAATAATTAATAATTCACTTTAAAACCCCCAATTCCCAATAGTAATTGACAATAAGAATTTCAATAGCAAATTATAAAGATCTCCAACATCGCTTTTCGTGGAATTTGAACACAACCTAGTTAGGTTACTATATTTTAACAATTGATTGCTTTAATTATAATTAAGCGTATAATTTGGGCGACATCACTATGCAAACCAATAAAACCATCAGGATATCTAAGTGTATGCAAAACACTATTCGGACCAACAAAACCATCATGATATCTATATTATGCACAAAATGAATGAATATGTATGTATGCGAACTAGCAACCTTACAAGTAATATGTATATAACCGTACCTCCTCCGTTCTATAACCATAACAACAATATCAACCCGACAATTACTACATTTGATGACCACAACAATATATACACCACCTCATATTTCCAAATTTGATACAACATCGACATTATCAAATACAAATTTTTGACAAGAATAACACTAATAATAATTTGACTCTTCGATAACATGTTAGACCATACCCTTATTTCAACAATCAACAATAATTATGTATGTTGATACAATTAGACTGATTTTTTTTATGATGATGCATGTGTATGATGAGTTCAACCATACCTTTATTTCAACAGTCAACAACGATACATTAACTAAAATACAATCAAAACAAAAGATGTCTACATCTAATAATGTGTATAAATGGTGCATACAAGTGTTGGCACAACTATATTAAGCGAATAAATAGTCTATCCAATCAAATTGAGCCAACAGATACTACAAATTATTATATCACTAATACATAGTGAATTATTTTAGGGAAAATGCATAAATTCCTCCTTAAACTTGTCCTGAAAAATTAGTTACACTCTTAAACTATTATGACGACCTATTACACACCTTTACTATTTAAAACTGAATTTAATACCACCCTGATACGTGTAACACCACTCTCACAGCATGCAGTGTATTACACACGCTGCCACATAAGCACTACGTCAGCACCATGTCAGATTTTATAATTTCTTATGTTCTTTTTGTTTTCTTTTCTTTATTAATTAACTTTCTTTTTGTTAACTCTATTTAACACAAATTAATCTCTAATTAATTATTAAAATTCTCTAATAATTATATCTTCTTTATCACTAAATTCCACCCACTTTGTCTCTAATCTTATCGGAAAAATTATTCATTTGATTTATATCACGATTTTCTTTGTCTTCTCCGGCGAAGAACAATCAACTCATCACCACCATAAGCCTACCTCCATCGTTCTTCTTATCTAACAAACCATTAGCCACAAAACAATCACCTAAACCACCACAAAACAGCCACTCAAAATCCAAATCAATCACCAGAAAACACCAAATCAGACCTCATTACCTTATCCCTTTGTGATTTTATTCTTTTGATTTCGTTTGCAGGTGTGTCGGCGAGCTGAAAGCTTCAGCCATGGCTCCGATGAAGTTCCGAAGAGCTCCACACTTCCAGATTTGAATAACCAACAAATAACCACAACCAACAACACCAGTACTACACTCTCGTTATTGTGAATCTTTGAGGTTGTGATGAAAACTAAAAAGTTGTGATGAAAATTAAAGAATGAGGAAGAAGAGGGTAATGGGTGGGGAAGGAAGATTTTTATTTTTTAATTATTTTTTAAAAGGGTAATGGGTTGGGAAGGAAGATTTTGATTTTATTTTTTTTAACTTTAATTTTTCTAACGCGCTAGTATTTTATTTATTTTTTATTATTTTGCCACGTCAATTTTAGGGAGTAAATAAATTCACTTTTAAGTAGTAAAGGTGTGTAATAGGTTGTTATGATAGTTTAAGTGTGTAACTGATTTTTTGGGACAAGTTCGAGGGGAAATCTATCATTTTCTCATTATTTTATTAGTGATACACCACGAATTTCAGAAAGTTGTATCAATATACAACACAAATTTTAGAAAGCTATATCACTAATACAACAAATTTCAAAACAATTGCTGTAAATCAAAATTAGACAAACTATAACTACTAATAATAATTATGATCTAAACTAATGTTATTTATGAAATCTTCTCTTATTTTTCTAATAACTAAAATAAATAAGAGTAATTTTAGGAATAGCAATCATAAAAATCATATTAGTGCTATGTAGCTATGATTTTGCTATTTGCGCCCTATATTTGCTATGGAGCATCTTATTTGTATAAATCTCAACGATTTGTATAAATCAGGCATTTGTGTCTACGAAAACTGCGTTTGTATATGTATATGTTCTTTGTGTTAGGCTAGAGTGACAAACACGTTTAGGAGAGAGAAAGGAGAGAGGCGAGTGAGAGAGGACATAGAGTGGAGAGATGTGAATTGTATATGTATATCAATTAGATAATTATATATATGTAACTACTATGTATATATATCAATGATTGTATGTGTATATCTGCATAAAATTTGAATTTGTATATAATTGAATCGAATTAAAATATTTGTATTTGTATATCAAATCTCTCTCGCTTTATATAAACACAAATTGTACATTGTATTTGTATAATTTTTATTTGTATAAAGCAAGAGAGAGAGAGAAAAAAAAAACAAAAGAGAACTGGGTAGAAGAAAATTTGTATTAGTATAATTATAAGTGTATAAGACGGAGAGATATGTATTTGTATTTGTATATACAATCTCTCTTGCTTTATACAAACACAATTTATACATTTGTGCTTGTATAAAAGTGAGAGAGGCGAGCGAGATTCAGGGGGGAGATGTGAGAATGACAATGTGTTTGCTAAGAATTAAGATTAAATGAAACTGTAACTATAACATTTATTTTGAATTAATAGTTTGCTATAATTCACAATTTTTCCCAAATAAATATAGGGGAAACTAAGCAAATACCCATAAAAACAAAATAATTACAAACATATACCCTTTTACATTCATATCATACTAAATAATTACACTACATACCCCTCAACTAATTTCACTTTACTGATACTAAATCAGTATCATAGATACTGTATTGATATCATTAAGAGTGATAATTTCTCTTAATTGATACTAAATCAGTATCATATACTGTATTTGTATCATTAAGACTGATAATTTTGCTTAATTGATACTAAATCAATATATATATGTTGTATTGATATCATTAAAGTTTCTTGTAAAGAAATTATTCATTAGTCAATGATACTATAAGTGTGTGTATATATATATATAATGAGTAATTTATGAACAAGAAACATTAATGATGCTACAACAATATACATACTCTTATAGTATTATTGAGTAATGAGTAATTTCTGAACAAGAAACCTTAATGATACCAATATATATACTGATCTAGTATCAAGTTAAATGAAATTATCGGCCTTAATGATACCAATACAGTATATGATACTAATTTAGTATCAGTTAAGCCAAAATTATCAGCCTTAATGAAAGGGGTATGAAGTGTAATTATTATGAGAAAATGTGTATTTCTTAATTACTTTAGATTTGAGTATGAACACGTAATTATTTTGAATTTTATAGCGTATTTATGTAGTTTTTCCTAATAACTAAGCTTAGAGAGTCCAGCCCAGGAAACATATGGGCCAGTCCAAAAGGCAGTGGTCACAAACTGACAAAAGCATAGTAGACGTTACAGAAAAGAACAAATCCTCTTTTTCTGAGTTTGAAATCCACCATTTTCATAGCCATACAGAGAGTACACAAAACGCAGCCATTGCAATCGTTTGCCCTATCTTACTACTTCATACAGATCGCAATCTTCACAATTAGCAGCTATTTTCTCTGCTGCAAAATCAGAAAATGGAGAAAAAGCTCAAGGATAAGAAATGGAGTTATGAAAAGAGAAGCCCTTTGCAAGATCTGAATGTTATTCCCAGATGTAAAAGCAAGAGTAGCACCATTGAAGCCCCAAGAGGTCGTCTTCCTTTTCTCATCTCTTCAAATTCTTCTTCTTCTTCGTCTTCCTCTGTTTCCTCATCTTCTTCTTCCAGAACGCATTTCCACAAAACACCGAAAGTTTCTTCGAGAATTTCAAATCCAGTGCCTAAATCTACACGTTTGAGATCTAAATCCACCAACGAGAATGATTTACCAAGACCCATTACGCAAAAACCCAAAAAGAACCCTCCTTTCCTATCTGGGAAGAAACCCATCTCCCGAAAGTCAAATCTGAGCAATCCTGTGAAGAAATCGTCATTTGGGTCGGTAAGATTGGGGGTTAAACCCAAGAGTTTGAAGCAAAAGGTGGAAGGAAATGGCTCAGGTGAGCAAATTCAGCTTTTGGATTTTGATTGTAATTTGACTAGTTTTGAGAATTGTACACCTCTTGGTAAATTAGCATCTGGTTCTGGTATTGATTGTGCAACTTTAGATCATACTTGTAATGTAGATAACTCAAATACAACTAGTAATACTACAAAAACACCTCCCATTGAGGCTTCAGTGTCACCTGAAATACAATGTGGGCTATCCACTGGGTTGGTTTCAGCTGCTACACCTTGTTATGCTGCTGGCCATGTTCTCTCTGGTGTTACTGATAAAAGGAAGTGTAGGCCTAGAGGTGTTCTCACTATAGGAAACTTAATTGATTCGTCAGATTGCGAAAAAGCCAGTGGCTCATTGGATAGAAAGTGTGAGGGGGCTGGAAGGAATGAGGTACTTAACAAGTCTAGTAGAGATTCTTTGATTCCTTTGCCTGCATTGGCTTCTATGCATTGGCTTTTATCTCCTTGCCGTGAGAATAATGACGTCTGTTGTGAGGGTGAATCTGTTAACGAATTTAGGATGTTGAATGGATCTGCCACATTTGAGTTGCCGTATTCAACTTCAATATGTTCTGGGAGTACTTCTGATTCAGTACATAACAGAGCAAATTACTGTAATAGTGTAAATACGGATGAAGCACAAATTGGTGGAAAAGCTTGGATTGTTTTGGTCTCTCCTGAAAGTACTAAACTTAAAGATCCATTGTCTGACGAGATGGGGAGGAATTTGTTTCCATCTTATCCCCTGGATATATCTTGTTGTCATGATGTGAAAGTCCCGGATGAGTGGAAATGTTCGTGCAGTCTTGTTAGAGAGAATTCTCCATGCTCTACGGCTTCTTTGAGCAGTGGGAATGTCATTCAAACACCCAAATCCGATTTGAGCTCAGGCAAGTGTGGTGGCTTTTCATGGTTACACCCAGGTGATCATCGAGACAACCTTAGGGATGAACTTGATTCAGTGACAGATTTTCTTCACAAAACAAGTTTATCACCTATGACTCAACCGTCAGCTTTAAATCCGCCTAATCCGCATTTTAAGTTTAATAGTGCTTCTTGGGTGTCTGACTCCTCATTAGAAAATGTATCACAATCTCAGATGAGAATCTCATGGAGAGATGGGATATTGAGTCGGACTCTTGAGATTGATGATTTAGATTGCTGCAGATGTTTATCAGATGATGAGAATGGGGGCTACTGTTACACTAATGCAAAGACAAATGTTGGTGTTGAATCCAGTCCCCATGAAGAAAATGATCTTTTACCAGAGAGTGGTTCTCAGTCTCCTGAATTTGTAGAGCACAAACACGAGCTTTCTCGGAATGGAAAGTTAAGGTCTCCTCTTCCAGAAGCTAATTCGTGTGCAGAGTCCATACAGACTGAAGGTGGTGGTTTAGTTTCATCTGCAGATTCTGACTGGACCCATTGTTGTAATAATCAGTTGTAGCACATTTGATTCTTCATCTGTATTTATTTGTATCGATTCTTAGAAGCAATGTTGCTCTTCTAAGTTCGAGTACTGTTTATTGTTGCTATAAATTATACCCTATAAATACTCAATTGTCTTCGTCTGAAGTGTTTGGAAAGTTCATTATTCACATTCTCTTAGTGCAACTCCGCAGATATTGAAATTGTGACAAAATTACACTTTTTTTATATCTTGTGTTTGGAACTTCTGATGAGCATTGGATGTCTTTGTAGATGGAGCTCTAGATGTTTACAAGAGGTGTTTATGCTTCCTCTCAACTACACCATTTTGTTGCGGGATAAAAACACTGGATGTTTGGTGGATAATTCCCTTAGAATTAAAGAAATTTGTTGTTAAATTACATCTTGCTAACTCAAGAGCATTATCTGATCTGATTTTTCTTACCTTAGTGTTAAATTGTCCTTCAACCATGACAAGAAAATTTTGAAGCATAAAGAATGCATTGCTCTTGATTTTTAAATGATATGTCCATGTGCCTCCATTAAAATATATACAATAGTTTTTTAAAAAATTATTTAGTACTATTGTAAGTAGGAGATTTATAGGGTCCCCCAGTGTGTGTGTATGAGCTCAAAGATAGTTTTAATTTTTATTTCACTTATAGAAAAAGGAAGTTTGGATTGATAGATACAAGACAAGAAATAGAAGGGTGAAAAATATTGTTATCAACACGATTAGCATGAACATCTGAATCTAAAGGCTCACGTGAGATATTCTTGACTTAATAAAGTAGCCGAGAAAATTGATCTCGAGTAAGTTGTTAAACTGTAGAAACAATGTCTGTCATATCTGGAGTGTTATCGTAAAACTAGCATTGCTTCTCACGTTTCCTTGCGTCTTTTTGGCTCTAATGAACTTAAAATTTGCAGGAAACCCAATTGTCACGACTCGAGCCTACACCCTGGACATGGCCGGCACTCGAGAACCATTGTTGGTCCCCAAGCGAACCCTCATCCTGGCTGACTACAAGCAGAAGACTAACTCAAGCATACATAAGCATCAAATTGAAAGAAACATTCAAAAACAGTTTACTAAATCTCAAAACTTTGTTGAATATATTGAGTATGAAACATAAGTTTAAATAAAACATCTGAAATTGAAAGACTCTCAAAACTGTCTATCTATGAAGCCTCTACTATACAAAGATGAGTGTCGGGACAAGACCCACGACTCCTCAAAATGTTACTAATACTAACAACTCATAAAACTAAAGTCCTCCAGAAACAAGGAGGTCTTACTCAAAAGATGACGAGCAGATGAAGTGATCTCAACAGACTCTTGTTGAGGATCCTAAGAACCTATATTTGCATCATTAAAAGAACCAGCGAAAGCAAGGGGTTTTGCCTTCTGGGTCGAGCTCGTCGCACCAGGTTTGCCTAGTGCGGTTTACCTCTCCTATGTGGTTTGCGAGCTATTGCATAGGAGCGGGGGTTTTACCCTGTGCGCACCCAAAGGGTAGCGGCTGCGGGTTTCCCTTGTCATCAAAAAAAAGATGCAGGTCGAATGACATCAGTCTATTGAATGTACGAGTATGTAATATAGCTGAATAACAAATAACTGAATGAAAAGACTACAATATATATAGATATATACTCAACTGAATGTAAAGAATAAATGAGTGAAATCACTAAATCTTTACATAAATACTTATTCATCTTTGAACTCAACATATTAAGTGATATAATAAAAATACACTTTTAATTTTATTTGGGAAATTTTATAACCGACAACCATCACTATGAGCGACGTGATGATACAACGTCTCGCCAACGCTGCCAGAATCATCCTATACCGTGCCGGAGTATATGACATCCTCAACTAAGTGGATCCACTAAGCTATGCTTAAAAACAATAAGAAATCCTCTAAAAAGTATGATCTTTTACCCATGTTGGCATACATGGTTTATGAAGATTTTGAGTTGTCTGAACTCATCCTCATATCGGTGCTCAATACTACTCCCAATAATATACATAAATCATGCTCATATGCTTAAAAAGTTCTTCCTCAATTTGAGATAATTACTCAAAAGATCACCTTAAAAGAGGTAAGTGCTCTTGAAATTTCTTTGAACTCATAACTCATTTAGAAATCAAAGTTTCTCTTTTATCAATGTAAAAACTGATACCTTGAGAAATACTTACTTCCCTTATACTCTTACTCAATTCATACATAAAAGCTCTTTCTAAAAAATATATCAAAATTATATTGTGATGTGATCATTGATGACTCGAGAAGTCATACTGCATAAACATTGATTGTATATCTAGATACCATACTACTTAAACATTGTTTGCATACTCGATTGTCATACTAATCATGTTTTAGAAACTCTTTTTCTCAAAACTCATCTTTACTTTCTCAAAAAGTCTGTTTAAGACTCAAGTCTTGGCTTTAAAAAGCTTCTCAAGATTTATAACTCAATTCATAGGATTCATGCGGAATTATGGACATGAATGACTCAACTCACGGATCTTAATAGCAATATGGAAACTCAGTACTCATAACTCAAGAACTCAGAACTCAGAACTCAACGATACTACTCCTCTCAAGAATACTCACTTCATAGGTTTCATGTGGAATTATGGACATGAACAAATCAACTCAAGGATCTCAATAACAATATAGAAAACTCAATATTCAGAACTCAAGAACTTAGAACTCAACTATACTACTCATCTCAAGAATACTCAATGCATAGGGTTCATGCTGAAATATAGACATGAACGAATGAACTCAAAAATCTCAATGAATAACGTATAGCAATTCAATAATTAGGAACAAAATTTCAAAAGGAATCATGAACTCAAGAACTCAAAATAAACTCATCTCAAGAATACTCAAATCTAGGGATAGAATCCTAGATTACTCTTTTACTGATTTGAAAGTAGATGTAGGGCATGAGGACGAACTAGTCCAACACTATGATAGCCTTACATACCTGGAAGAACAAGGTTCTTGAAGAATCTTGAAGAAGAACTTGATTACAAGCCTTGAAACCCTAGCTTGAAGGAAAATAACCAAGAAAAATCTTTCTTGAAATTCTTGAATTAGTTTCTTGAAATCTCTATGGCCAAGAATTGTGATTTTCATTAGTGATTCATAATTGTATGGAGGAATTTGAGTTGGAAAGATTGGAATTCTTGGAGAAAGACTTACCTTGAAGAAGAATCTTGAAAAAGATTGAAAGAATCTTGAATGGAGCTTCTACTTTGATTTTTCCTTAGGGTTTTGCCTTAGGGTTTGAGAGAGAAGAGAATGATGGTTTAAGAGATGAAAATCTGATTATTTTGGGTCTATAATTAGTCAAGAAATTCGTTTAGGGTTTTCGTATAGGTAAAAGTACAAAAACAACCCTTTTCAATGTTTTTCCATCGGCTAATTCGTCACTTTTACTGTAGCAGATTACTAAAATAGTCATAACAATTTACTCGAAACTCGAATTGTTGCGAAATTAGTGGCGTTGGAAAGAATATAATACCTTTAATTTGATAGGTAATGGGCCACATAAATCTTTATAATCTAAGATATATGGTCGTTTGAAGTTGACCAAAGTAAAATCTTACATCAAAACTTAATTGGTAAGGAAACCTTCAACTCAACTTTGTGCTAGGAGATTCTAGGGAACTTAATTGATATCAAAATCATTCCCACACTAATGAATTGACCTTTACACATATGGGCAATTTAAGAATCTCCCGGTACGATCTTATTCACAAATGAAGGATGGTTTGGGTCTTAACTTAAAAAATTTCGGAGTGTTACACCAATGATTTTGTAACACTTATTCATTGAATGTCCAGGTTTCCTGCAGTTTGAACACACTAAATCAGTTTTGTTTTTCTTGAAATTAGTCTGTCTATGAAGTGATAATTGGAAGCCAAGAATGATGCATAATTTCTTTAAAATGTGAGTTTATAGCCATCTCTCTTTGCTTATCAAGCAAGACTTACAAAGGAAACATGGATTATCATAGAGGACAAATGTAAAAGCCTCCAAATATGCTATAGAAGAAAAAATTTATTTTTCTTCTGCATAACTTACCAACATTTGACTTCAAGGAAAGTTGAAAAAATCAGCCAAGAAAATTGACATATGTATATCCAATTTCTTCCAAAATCTTGCCAAACTTTGACATTGTAAGATTTGTCAAGTTTGGAACATGGGGATAGACCCCATGATCCGCCCCCCTTTCCAGGCCCATTCGCCTGAAGGAGGTAACTCTAAGTTTCTAGCTTGAGTGCATGCCGACAAGTTTTTTTGCATAGTTCGAACTTGTCTCTCGATACCACCTTGGTCAGCATATTTGAAGGGTTTTCACTAGTAGAGATCTTCATGACCTGCATAGATCCGTCCTCTATCTTTTCCCGAATCTAGTGAGATTTCACATCGATATGCTTTGTCCTTGAATGATACATGGTGTTCTTGCTTAAGTCTATTGTACTTCGGCTGTCACAATGGACGACATACTCCTTCTGATGCAATCCAAGTTCTTGAAGAAATCATTTCAGCCATACCATCTCTTTACCAGCTTCAGTAGCAACAATATACTCTACTTCAATTGTAGAAAGTGCGACACACTTCTGCAACTTTGATTGCCATGATATGGCTCCCCTTGAAAATGGAAACAAATATCCAGCAGTGGATTTTTTGTTATCAAGGTCACTTGCCATATCAACATCTCTATAGACTTTCAAGATTGGATAATATCCTTCAAAACTAAAATAGTCTTTTGTGGTACCTCTTAGGTACATGAGTATCCACTTAACTGCTTCCTAGTGATCTTTTCCAGGATTTCCAAGGGATCTTCTAACAATACCAACTGCATGAGCAATATCATGTCTTTTACACACCATTGCATACATCAAACTCCCCACTGCTGAAGAATAAGGAACTTTGGTCATTCCCTCTTTCTCCTCTTTTGTTGTAGGACACATTTGTTTGCTCAACTTCAGATGACTTGCAAGAGGCGTGCTAACAAGTTTAGCACTCTTCATGTTGAAGCGTTCTAGTTGACATAAGTTTAATGTACTTCTCTTGAGATAACCACAACTTTCTATTTTTTCGTTCTCGAACAATTTTTATCCTTGGAATTTATTGCGCTGGGCCCA